CATTGACATCTTGAAGTTCCCTCCTAATTTGTTCATGTATGCGTTTGCCAAATGTGGTGAGAGCGGCGATCCCATGGGAAGTCGAAATATTTGACCATAGATGGTCCTGTTAAATGTAGAATAAGTTTTCCTTATTGTCAAACTGATTAGTCATGTTAACGAGTCCCTCCTGAAACGTTTTGATTCCAGGATATCCTCCTCTCGGTCTAGGATTTCCAGCGGTGCCGATAGTGAATTTTCTCCAGAAATAATTGCATACATGAATTTTATATAAAAAACTTACCCATAAGATTGTTTCTTCGAGTGCCATGTTCTTGATCTTTTGAGAAAAATTATATGAATATTTTAACCTGTTCAAGAACCAATCATTTAACTTCTTGAATTTCAGACATATAAACTTTGTCAATTTGTATGCTGTTCCATACCTGTTGTTGACTATCAGTCTTAGTTGGTGTTCATGCATCCTTTCCTCTGATTGAATGTTTGCCTATGTGTCAATTTCCCTACTCTTTATGCATATCATTCCGCATGTCACACAATGTCCCATTGATCTTCACTTTGGTTCTTCTTTAGTAGAAGATATGTAGTCCAGTCTCTCAGCATACATTCCATATTCTCAACATATATTTTTTGTACATTATCACTCTTCCTCCTATATCCTCCTCGTTTCTGAGATGAAAACACCTACTGTTCAGCAGTATCCTTGCTAGCAAAGTGAACTTCCTATAAGATGAACTCCACATCAACGCCACCTGCCCGCATTAGGCTTCAAGCTAAAACTAAGGCCAAAATACGATCCAATTCTATCCTATGATGGAAGATCAATTCGTCTTTACCAAAAGCAAGGGAGAATATTTCGTGGACTGCAGCAACCTAAACACCATATTAAATCCAGTGCTAAAGTAATCAGCCACCCATCTTCCAGTTAGTTCGACCTACGAATATTTTTATCCTTCGGTTTGGACTAAGTGAAATTCCCCAAAACAACTTGAGTAGCCAGCAGTATGACCATTAAAAGAAGTGATCCCTTATTGTGGTTCGTCACCAAGAGTCTGCAGAAAAATAGATAAAGAAAAATCCGAAGTTGCGGAACACCGCACGAATGAGACGCGAAACTGACTGGAAATCGACAGAAAGGCTTGTCGCATGTGGTGAAAATAGAATAAAACGCAAGATTGGACAGACTATCGATATCCTAACAGAAAAAATGTAAATGAAACAATACAGAATCAGCGGAAACTGTGGATATTGATCAAGCCAACTTAATGATCGGGGAAAATTTTTGAACATGAGGAAAAGGAATCACATAGGGAAAACCAGCGAGAAACAATAATAAATCTAGGAGAGAAGCCTACAGTAGACCTAATTAAAGCAAGTAAAACATAGAATTTGAGGGTTGATATACAAGAAACAAGGACATGAAGGTCATAGACTTGGCCGTATGAATAGATGCGCAGGAAATCTGGTGGAGACCAGGGATAATAGGCTCACAGTACTTGGGTTTGATCATGGAAGTGGTCTGTGAAGATTTGACCACGAGGCTTACCCAGTAAACATTCTGAACAGTGATAAGAGAATGTGCAGCATTAGGTTAGTTTTTTATCCAGCTTGAGAGACCAGAGTGAGGCTGGGTTATGTGTACTTAAGGTACTGTAGGATAAACTCCTCGATTATCATGAATTCTCGAAGTGTAAAGTCAAGTCAAAATAACCCGCAAAGGGATTCTTCGAAACCTAGCTAGAATTAATCATTCCCAAAAAAATATTTGTTCCCACATGCATTGATGTGACGGCCAAATAACATTCAAAGCAAATAACTGAGAAACCCATCTCAACTGGGTCACTTAGCATGTGGGTGAATAGAAATTAATTAAAATTTCCAACTGCATTATATGCAATAATAATGACTATAATAGGCTTCCGCCATATTGACATCCTTTACCTTTAAAGCATAGCCTCAGGTTAAGAAGCAACACAATAAGCAAGAAATACATTATTTATCCATCTAAATTATTTTAGGTCTAGGACAGTCCTTAGCGCTCTTTATCATAGATTATTCATGCTCAAAAATAATTTTAAAATATCAAATATTTATCAAGTTATTTGATAATGAGTATAAAGTGATATCTTAAAAGGGCTCTGACTCTAACCAAAAATAAGTTAATTTAGTGGGGGCCAAAGAAATAAATGTATTCAAAAACGAATTTTAAAGAATGACAAGCCACTCCGAAATTCCTTTAAAATCTTCGGACACTAAAAATGATTAACTATAAGGTGGATATATATATATATATATAAATTTTATAGACATGTTGAAAGTTATTTATGTAATATAAAGCAAGAATACCACAAATTAATTATAAGTAATACCCAAATAGACAGTAAAATGAGGAAAAAGAATGGATAATATGAAACAAAGAAAAGGAAATCGTTGCCAATATAAATGAGAAACGAAGCTTCTTTTTGCCTTCAGAGCACAAACTAAGCAGTTAGAGAAAATGAAAACAAGTTTTCAGAGGCGTGCGTTATGCAAATGAGTACTTAAGATCCTGAATAAAGGAATTTATAACCAAGGGAATGATATTATTTAGACAATATACAACTGGAAGTGATAAAAATTGAACATAGATTCGAGATTCGAATTAGTAGTAGATCCTAGATAATGACATCATTTCAACAAAAGGGGAAATCACCCATGAAGTGGCTACATAGAAGATAATTCCGCAAGCAATAGACACAGGAAGAGCAGGCAACGCTTTACGGAAAATAGCAAGTCCAATTAAGGTTACACACATTCCCACCAAAATTGCGACATAGCAAGCAATAATTGTGATTGCATCGCCATCCAAGGAGGCTCGGCCTATCAGAAGGCTATAGAATACAAAGTCTCCAAGTCCCAGTTTCATTCCCCGCTCTTCTCGACCAGCTAATTCACTCTGATATAAAAGTAAGCAAAAAATAGAAAGAAAGTTGCTTTAAGGTAGATGGTGAAGACTTATATTTAATTAATAAAATAGTCTGAGCATGTAAAGGATAAAAAACTGAAGTAAAAGATTTATTAGAATTATTATTGGAACCAGAGGATGTAATTACTACCATTTGTAAAGTGAATTGAGCTGGTTGCTAGGATAGTTATAATGAATTTTTGGAAATTTTTATTACGAAAGTACTTAAGGGTAACAGCATAGATGCAGGAAAAGCAGCCATCCACCTCAGAATATGAATTTTGTTAATGCATTTTTCAAAGAGCGAAAATAAAAAATTGTCAAATCGTGATAAGAAAATCTCATAGAAATCGTTTGAGTAGAATATCACATATTCTAAGCCAGAGATAGGATAAAATTAGGCTGGGCGCTACACTAGTCGAGATTCCAAAAAAAACAGTTATAGTTACTGAGAGAAATAATGATCATGTCAAATATTTAAATGCTTAAATTTTGCTAAAAATAGATAACTAGGCCATAAAAAAAGTTCGAAAATAGGTATATGGGAAACATGCCCAGCAAGTTGAAAGAAAGAGTAGATAACACCAGTTTGGATACAGCCTCTCCAAAGTTTTATTGGCCTTACTTTGCAGGAAGATTTGGGAAAAATAACTCGTACTGTCTTATCTATTTATATGATCACGCGCCTTTGCTGAGATTGACCATAAATAGAGTGAATTTTTACCATCCGAGTCTGTAAGAACACATTGCTATATTAGTAGATTAAACAATAAAGGACACGTTCTTCGAAGTCACTCCACTAAAATGATCAAATTGAAAAAATGAAGACAATTAATTCTAAAACAGGAGACCGTGATAAATCTGAAGGCAATAAGATCGATGACTAATTTTCTAATTGTTACTGGCTGGATTAGTAGAAATCGGATTCATATATACTTGCCTTTTAAACTAATTAGTTCCGGCATATACCATATAATTAATTATTTATTAAATCAATATTAATTAACTCAGCTTTAAAAGAGTTTGTTCCTGAATCATTTATTAATTTTTCCAAGGTTTAGTACAATGCTAGCTTTATTTTGTATCCTATTTATTCAGAATTACCACAAGCTAGCCATCACTGTTGCTACAGAGTATTGACGTTTAAAACGTTAGAGTAGAAAGCTTTGCTTCCAAAAAGGTATTGCCATCCCGGGTGGCCTGCAGCTTTAAACTCGCCTAGGTCCCACTAAAACCGCTACTGGCTTATATCTCTAGACTATATGCTGCCTCACCCGGGCTCGAATCCTGCTGGGTTGCTGACGAGATTTAGACGAGGTCAAAACTGCAAACCCAATTGGATGAAAATACTTTCTTAGGAAGCAAAGTTATGTTAAACTTATTGGAAATCTAAAGCCTATACATATCATTGTGAAAAAATTCAATTAAGTTCTTCATCACCTTATTCGAACTAGGCTAAATAAAACTCATATAGAAAGCCTCATTTTGGATAGTATACATTCTTTTAAGTTACCATTATAATAAGGCAAATATGAAAGTAAAAGTTAATCGACTATAGAGTCAGTGACCTTGAATGTAAGCTAACACCAACTAAAATATTATTTATCAGAAAAAGGTGTAAAAGTGATCTCTCCCTAGTAACCAGAAGATAAAATATGGAGATAATTTAGGGAAAATTGTAAAAAATAATTTCATTTTTAATATAAGATGAAAGAAAACCAAATAAAAAAGTAAAAAAGTAATATATTTTTAGGCCTACATAAAATCCATCTGGCAAAAGGTTATATATTTTTCTGTAACATCGTTTTGTAAAAGGTAACGAAGTAAATAATTATGAAAATAAAAGTAATGTAAGCAAAATGAAATATTTGCATGAGAAATGGAGTGT